TTTTTTCTATATATATTAGTTGGCCAATTAATTTGTTTCTATTTATAGTAGAGACGGGGTCTCGCTCTTGCTCAGGCTGGTTTTGAACTGACCTTGAGCAATCCGCCCGCCTCGGCCTCCCAGAGTGCTAGGATTACAGGCGTGAGCCACCGCGCCCGGCCTCATTTTCATTTCTGTACAGTGGTTTGTTATGTGACCATATGATAATCTATGTATCCATTCTCCTGTTGGACATGTGGTTTTATTCTCATCTTTGGTTATTCAGCACTCCTTCTATGAACATACATGTGTGTATATATATTAACATATATATAGTGCCTGTGTGCATGAGTTTTTCCAGCAAGTTTTCCTGGAGTGATTTCTGTCTGGGCCATGGCATGTCTGTGCTGTTAACTTAGTACTTGGTAATGCCAACCTGTTTTTCCTAAGTGACAGGACTGACTTAAGATCCTTAAAGTGTATGAACACAAGTGTTCTTCTTGTTTGCTAGGGTGCTTAATCTTGGTGGGTCAGTGAAAAAGAGGCATGGGAGGAGGAAGGTTATTTTAGACATACAAGAAGGAATGAGAATAAGTGGAAGGGGATTGCAAATGCACTGACATGACACTAATTTAGGAACCTGTGGGAAAGTGGTGGGAGATGAGGCTGGAAGTGAGATATGTGAGGAGTTTGGCTTTTATTCTAAGGGCAGTGAAGAGGCACAAGATATCAAATCTACATTTTAAAAAGCTTGCTGTGACAGCTATGTATGTGGAAGATGAGGGGGTGAAGGCCAGATACAGGGAGTTTTGAATACTCTAAATCCCTAGAGAAATGAGGGAAGGCGAAGTAGAAGGAATTGGTTTCCAGAGGTGTTTAGACCAAAATCAACAGTTTTTTTGCCAATTCTGTCAAATCGGGGAAAAGTGACAGAGAAGCGGGAGTATTGGTTTTGCTTAGGTGACTGTATAGGTGATGATCTCATTCAATAAGTTGGGAATTCAGGAAGGAGGAGAGTTTGAGGTCAGGTTGGCAAAGATGGTGAGGGAAAGTAGTTTTAGACACGTAGTGTGTGAGATATCCATAGATTATCTGGATAGACAGATAACTACCTCATACTTCTATTCATCCTCTTTCTATATAGAAAGCAAATCCCTCTTTGTAGATAGTATTCATGTGATCAGAATTTACCAGATGATTTCTCTGCAATCTCTTATGGTCAAAGAACTGGAAAGAGAGAAAGCAGGGGAGGAAGAATGAATATGTGTATTAATATATGTATCTCACTTCCCCTCAGTCAGAGACCACCAGGAACATATATCTAGTTGAACAAGTTGGGTGTTTTACTCATTGCAGTGAGGAAGTACACACACTATGTGTGTGTGTGTGTGTATATATATATATATATATATATATATAGGATACCATGAGGTGTCTTCATAAGAGGGTGTTAGAATCTATCATAGGACCTTGGGCTTTTGTTGGGTGATTTTTTTTTTTTTTTCCAGGATGATCTAAGGAAGCAGAGGCTCACTCTGTACTGGGTGGTATCAGAATGCAGGGCAATTCCATGATTGGATATCTCTAATATCTCTAATATCTTATAGGGAGGACAGACTAGATGGAGGGAAAAGTTGTTATTGGTAAAGAAATAGCAATCATTTAGGGCAAGAGGGGGATTTGGTATCATGGGTTGCACAGTGACCTTGTTTTTATGTCACTTTATCATAACAAAGTCTGAGTGACTTTGTTGGATATAGTCTTTGAGATTGTGTCCAACAGGAGAACCAAATGGCCTGAGTACCAGGCCAGCTTGTGATAACGTTGAGGTCTAGCTGTGTAAGTCATATCAGTTCTGGATTTCAGGGACTGCTTTATTTTTCATATATTTACATATAAAAATACATACATGATACTCATATCCTAATTTAAGTCTGGTTTTCAATTGAGATCTTGTTTTGGTGAATGCAGTTTTATCATGTATTTGCAAGAGTTAAAAAACATCATCATAAAAAACTTTTTTTATGAGTATATTAATACTCATTACTTCAGGATGTACTTTTTTTTTTAGCCATGTCAGTAGCATAAAATGTACTGCCATTTGGAAAACTCGTTGTATTTCTGGAGAATGAGAAAACAGAAGATTCTTGCATTGATCCAGGTGGAATGTGGGTGGTGAAGGCAGAGAGGAGAATTTTTAGAACTACTTAGAAGACAGAGTAGACAGAACTTGATGCCAGAGTGTAGTAGGTAGGGAACCCAGAGAGTGAAGGATGACACCTAGCAGGTAGTTGGAGCAGTGATGGAGAGAGGCACAGGTTGGCAGGGGAGTAACAAATCTTAAGCAGGAACCCGTACAGTAGTAAGAACCTGGGTGGGGGGAGGCTGATTGCTTCTAATCAATCTTGTAGGTGGCTAATATCTAACAGAATAAGTTATTGATTAATATCAAGAGCTGTAACTGCCTAGGGAACCAACCTCTTAAATTTTTTTTGTCAGCATATTCTCTCCTTACAGGCAAATCTATGTAAGAGATGAAATGACGATTAGAAGATTGTTTGATTTGGGTGGGGACATAACAAGGGAAGCTAGCGTGGGTAGCTTCCCTTCCAAAGGTGGCTAGCGTGGTGGCTGTGGTCATCAAAATATGTATGACATCTATACTTTAGAGACTTATCTGCCTAGTATTCAGAAACACAGGTCTGACTCCTAAGCCATGTCCTAAACCTGTGTGCTAAAACGTTGAGTGCCAAGGCTACCAAAGTGGGTTTCATACCATGTCAGCACTTAGCATGAGAGCTGGCACATACTAGGTACTCAGTGCATATTGTAAGGAGTCTAAGCTAAAAGGGCCATGGGTGCAGGGAAAGGGGTGAGGCTATGGCACTCTTTGTGTCTGCTGCGTGTGTAGAGAAGGGGGTGAGGCTCTATCTTGTAGGCATTTGCCAATCTGGTTCAAAACATTACAAATTTATTGTAGAACTGGTCTACAAGTTTATAATAGAAGTATTATGAAGGGAAGAAAGGAGAGAAGGAAAGAATTAAAATTTATCTGTAATTGCACATAAGCAAATTAATGAACTTCCTTTACCTATTTTCATCCTGACATTCTGAACTCATGTAAGGAAACAAAGTGCAGACAATTTTATTTTATTTTATTTTTTGAGACAGCGTCTCACTCTTGTTGCCCCCTCTAGAGTGCCATGGCATCAGCCTAGCTCACAGCAACTTCAAACTTCTGGGCTCAAGCGATCCTCCTGCCTCAGCCTCCTGAGTAGCTGGGACTACAGGCATGCGCCACCATGCCCAGCTAATTTTTCCTATTAGTTGGCTAATTAGTTTCTTTCTATTTATAGTAGAGACGGGATCTCATTCTTGCTCAGGCTGGTTTCGAACTCCTGACCTCGAGCAATCCTCCTGCCTTGGCCTCCCAGAGTGCTAGGATTACAGGCGTGAGCCACCATGCCCGGCCATTAAATATAATATTGATATTAATAGGTTTTCTTTAGGAATTCTTTTTCACTATTTTGGTTATTTTTACTTTAAGCATTTATAAAAGTTAAGGTTCATGTAATAATTATATTCAGTTTGTTATGCTGAATAATGTGAAATAATAATAGATTCTTTTTGAGTTACAAGATATCTTAGAGAAAAATATTTTGAGTATAACCCTCTTATCTTGTATGTCAAAAAGTCAAGAGTAAAAGAACTGGGTGATTTATGAGTTTCCTGAAAGAAAAATTACGATATCTCAACATATAAATTTGAAAACTTGGGAAATTAAAATTAGTAAACATTGAATTAATGAACCAGTTGGCAAATAATATAGCTTTTATGTTGTACTTAATACAAATTAAGCAGAAGGCTTCATGAGTAATGAACACATCATTTTAACTACTTAATATCCTCTCCTATTTAAGTAGATATGAAGAAGGTTGTCTGTTGGAACTTATTGGTTATTTTAAGCTTACATTCTTTAAGGAAAAAATGCCTCAAGTAAGGTGTTTCCCTAAGTTGAGAAAAAAAATGGTTGAGATGTGTTTCTTTGGGCTGCCAAAACTCTTCTTTCATTTTTGTGGTACTTTGTTAATTGACTAAATGATCCTGTAAGTAAGTGTAGTTTGTAGTCAGCTATGTGAAGATACATAGATTATTCTTTGATTAGGATTGAAATCTATAATTGGGAGAAAGAAAATATTTTTTTGTTTATATGAACATATTTTGTGATATAATTATTTCTACTGTTAATAGGATGGGATGATTTTTCTTTTTTCTTACTAAATCAGTTAACAGACTTTTGGAACTAGGAGGTTCTTTAGAATTCAGCTGGTTCAGCCACTTCATTTTTATTATTATTATTATTATTATTTTTTGAGACAGAGTCTCACTTTGTTGCCCAGGCTAGAGTACCATGGTGTCAGCCTAGCTCACAGCAACCTCAAACTCCTGGGCTCAAGCATTCCTCCTGCCTCAGCCTCCTGAGTAGCTGGGACTACAGGCATGTGCCACCATGCCTGGCTAATTTTTTTCCTATATATATTAGTTTGCCAATTAATTTCTTTCTATTTATAGTAGAGACAGGATCTCACTCTTGCTCAGGCTGGTTTTGAACTCCTGACCTCGAGCAATCCTCCCGCCTCGGCCTCCCAGAGTGCTAGGATTACAGGCGTGAGCCACCGCGCCTGGCCAGCTACTTCATTTTAAAGCTAACGATACTGAGGACCAAAGTGTGGATAAATGAATTCTCCAAGGTGACACATTTGGTCAAAATAAAGCCCAGCTCTCACTCTGATTTCTGGGTTCGGTTCTTTTCACCCTATAACCTGTTATTTCAAAACCAATCTAGATGCTATTTGAAAGAAAGGGAGGTGGGAGAATGCCAAAGGAAAAGGGTGTTCGTCCCCTTTCAGTGAACCTGTTAAGGTCAGTTCACTGAATGGATCTCCAGCATCTGTTCTTCAGACAAGATGCTTCTGTGGTGGGGATAATCATGCTTAATAATATTAATTCTTGCTTTCTAGGTGAGAGTTACGTGTGCGCATCCAACGAACCGTATCGTAAAGTCGATTACACCAAAAATGTTAATCCGAACTGGTCCGTAAACATCAAGGGTGGGACAACCCGAGCCCTGGCTGCCGCCGCCTCTGTGAAAAGTGAAGTCAAAGAAAGTAAAGATTTCATCAAACCCAAATTAGTGACTGTGATTCGAAGTGGAGTGAAGCCTAGAAAAGCCGTGCGGATCCTCCTGAATAAAAAGACTGCTCATTCCTTTGAGCAGGTCTTAACAGATATCACCGAAGCCATTAAACTAGACTCAGGAGTAGTCAAGAGGCTCTGCACCCTGGACGGCAAGCAGGTAGGATGCTTCTGACCCTCAGCTCTTCATCTTTCTTTTAAACTCCTTGTATTATGGTGGTTACGTAATTGAACAATAGAAATTTAGTAGTCTGCTAGAAATTAATTCTAGTAGACCTACTCGAGAAGTGTGTGTGTGTGTGTGTGTGTGTGTGTGTTAGCCTTCATTGTGAAAAATGGTTTACATTTCTCCAAGTGTCTCAAAAGTGAGTATGGAGAAGTCCATCATATACTTCTTTTGGTCCTTGGAAGGGAAAAATGTAAATTTCTGAGGGAAAAGTGTAAGTTAAGGAGGCATCCTGCATTAAGTGGGATGTTGTCTATTAAAGAATAGCTGTTGATTAATAAGGTCATGGGCTTGGGTATCACAGGAGTCAAAATATAAAGGTCTTTAACATTTTTAGAAAAGCCTATTCTCCATAATTATATATAATATGGAAAACACGTTTCAAAAGAAAGTACTTTTACAGGAATGTTCATATAAGTTTCATGGGGAACAATGGAAATAGCATTTCTGAAAAATGAATACCAATTGCACAGGAAAATACAAGTCAGATTATGATAACAATACATTAGGAATTTAATGGACTAAAAAATTGGGCATACTGCAAGAACACATGAATAGCAGTTACGTAAATATTGAATTTTGCCACAGACTATCGTTTCTAAAAAGAAAGGTGGGTTCTGAAATATATTTCCCCCCAATTTTCATAACATTAAATAGTTTATATTTACATTGTATTAAAATTTATAGTTTCCAACATTAAATTTGTTCCTTCATTCCATTTTGTTTCTTCCCTCTAACATTGTGAAGTGTATGGCTCAGGAGTACTAAGAATGAATACTGCAAAACACGGGAGTGGTATCTTCTGGAAAAACACAATCAAAGTAGTTTTTAATGTTATATATAAGACCAGATCTAGTTAGTATTTTCTGAAATATTAACAAAATTTAAAAAATAAGTAAGACTCCATCTCTACAAAAAAAAAAAAAAAATTTAGCTGGGCTTGGTGATACGTGCCTATAGTCCCAGCTACTCAGGAGGTTGAGGCAGGAGAATTGCTTGAGCCCAGGAGTTTTTTTTTTTTTTTTTTGAGACAGAGTCTCACTTTGTTGCCTAGGCTAGAGTGAGTGCCATAGCATCAGCCTAGCTCACAGTAACCTCAAACTCCTGGGCTCAAGCAATCCTGCTGCCTCAGCCTCCCGAGTAGCTGGGACTACAGGCATGTGCCACCATGCCTGCTAATTTTTTCTTTATATATTAGTTGGCCAATTAATTTATTTCTGTTTATAGTAGAGACAGGGTCTCGCTCTTGCTCAGGTTGGTTTCGAACTCCTGACCTTGAGCCATCTGCCCGCCTCAGCCTCCCAGAGTGCTAGGATTACAGGCGTGAGCCACCGCGCCCAGCTGAGCCCAGGAGTTTGAGGTTGCAGTTTGAGCTATGATGACACCACTGCACTGTAGCCCTGGCAACAGAGTGAGACTTTGTCTCAAGGGGAAACAAAAGGAAAAAATTCTGAAGATTCCATTAGATTGTGGTGAGATTAGAATGATTTTTCCAATTAAATTAATGATTACAAGATATATAGTACTTTATAGCAGCTTGCCCCTAAATAGGTTCACAGTATAAAAATAGACACTTTGTGCAATTTAGTTGATGACACAGTACAATACAAAACACCTTAAGATTCACTCTGCAAATAAGTGAAAATAGGCCCCATGAAAAGAAAAAGGAGATTCGATAAATCAAATAGCTGATTATCATGGGCACAAAGAATACGAGTATAAAGACCAATATTTAAAATACCTAACCAAAGGAAAAATGAAAATCTAAACACATCAATTTAGAAAAAAATGGGATATAAAGATTAAATGCAGGGCCGGGCTTGGTGGCTCATGCCTGTAATCCTAGCCCTCTGGGAGGCCGAGGCGGGCGGATCGCTCGAGGTCAGGAGTTCAAAACCAGCCTGAGCAAGACTAAGACCCTGTCTCTACTATAAATAGAAAGAAGCTAATTGGCCAACTAATATATATATATAGAAAAAATTAGCTGGGCATGGTGGCGCATGCCTGTATTCCCAGCTACTCGGGAGGCTGAGGCAGTAGGATTGCTTGAGTCCAGGAGTTTGAGGTTGCTGTGAGCTAGGCTGACGCCACGGCACTCAGTCTAGCCTGGGCAACAAAGTGAGACTGTCTCAAAAAAAAAAAAAAAGGATTAAATGTAAGTGAGATTTTAAAAATTAGAACTCAAACTTGGAAATCTCCAGATGTGAATGATACTCAGGGAAAATATAAGCAACATAAAGAAGGTGAACATCTAATTGAAGTGGTAACCATTGGAATTTTAATACTTATCCAAAAAATTATCTTCAAAAGGATTCCAGGCTAGAAATGTAAAAATGTTAACTAAAGCACAAGCAACTCAAAATAGACATATTCAGGATCATACAGTGTGATGAGTAGGACTTATGACAGTAATTAAGGGATGGCTTATTATTAAGACACCTTTTTATAATTGAGATCTATATGATAATAGCATAATACATGTTTGTAACCTTGAAAAGATGTTGTCAGGCATTTGATCAAATATAAAATTCATATTCAGTTAAAGATTTAGTGATAAAAATTGAGGGTGACTTAATACACTAAAATTTTTCTATCTGAAACCAAAAGCCAATGTATTGATAAACAAATGTGAATACTAGAAGTATTTCTGTGACAGTAAGGTCCAGGATAAGCTTGCCTGATAGGTTCAGTATTCAACACTTATACATCCTTGCTGATTTTTTTTTTTTTTTTTTTTTTTTTTGAGACATAGTCTCGCTTTGTTGTCCAGGCTAGAGTGAGTGCCGTGGCGTCAGCCTAGCTCACAGCAACCTCAAACTCCTGGGCTCAAGCGATCCTCCAGCCTCAGCCTCCCGAGTAGCTGGGACTACAGGCATGCGCCACCATGCCCGGCTAATTTTTTTATATATATATCAGTTGGCCAATTAATTTCTTTCTATTTATAGTAGAGACGGGGTCTCGCTCAGGCTGGTTTTGAACTCCTGACCTTGAGCAATCCGCCCGCCTCGGCCTCCCAAGAGCTAGGATTACAGGCGTGAGCCACAGCGCCCGGCCCCTTGCTGATTTTTTATTTATAGTTTAATGCAGTTTCAGTAAGAATCTAAATGAGATTTTTTTTTTAGGGAGGGGCTTATGGGGAACCTGATAAAGTGATTTTAAAAGTTAACCTGGTATAATAGGCAGGGGAATTTTAGAAATAATGATTAATGGGCTCTCATGCTACGAGATATTAAATCATCATTCTCATATCACACCAAAAATAAATTCCAGGTGTTCAAAAAATATAGACGTCAAGATGAAACAAGAGTTAAAGAAAATGCGTCAATAGTAATGTCAAAATGGGAAAGGATTTTTTAATTTTTATTTTTGTTTCAAAGACCCTATTTCCAAATGGGAAAGGATTTTCTGAGCATGAAAGTGAAGAAATCAGAAAGGGAAATGTTGATTGGTTAGACAGTATAAAAATAAAAAATTTTCTGGATATCAAATGGGTATATGCCTTTATATTGAGTTGTAATTTTATATGAAAGAGACAAATACTACAATGGGTAAATAGATAAAAGTTTTAACAATTTGAAAAGGTAGAATTAGAAATAGTAAACATTAAAAAAAAATCTCACTAATAAAAATGTGAATTAAAGCAGTGAGATATTTTAATATTTAAAATTGATAAGCTTTTAAAAAATAGCCACTGTTTTTGAATATGCAATGAATTGGCATGTTCAAATGGCAATGGAAGTTTAAAATTCATAAGCTTTAGGGAAAACAGTTAATATGCATAACTATACAGATGTTCTTGCTATTTAAACTAGTAAATTAAGTTTTGGAATTTATCCTGAATAACCTGAGATGCAAATATAATTACTCTTGAGAATGTTCATTGCAACATAAAAGCAAAAGATTGGAAACAGTTTCAGATCTCTAAAGTAGAAAACAGTTAAATGATATTACCATGGAATTCATCTGTACTAGCCATTAAAAATTACATTTGGGGGAATAAAGACATGAGAAAATGTTAAATGGAAAAAGCAAGAAGCAGATTCTGTGTATTGTGTTTTCAATTCTGTGTTAAAGAAAACCAGATGAAGAATTTTTTAAAAAGTTATTCAAAAGGAAACAAGATTATATTTGCCATCAGAAATTGAATATCTGCTGTTCTGATTTTCACTACTTCTTCCCCAAGTCTGCTCAAAAGCAAAAACTTAAGCACTGAGAAAGAACAGACTGATCTCAGTCAGATTTTAGAAATTCATACACATTATGAATAATCCTTAAAATTTTGGTATGTGGCTATAAAATGTTACAAGTATCACTTTTGTCACTGTTTATGCCTTATGAACTTAAACATTATTTTCAGTGTGTAAAGAGGACATTTATAAACTTTCAAATAAGATGTTTCTTTGGAAAAATTACAAATTTAATTTTTGAAAGACATAACTTTGGATATTGCATTTTCAGAGTACCAGGTAGCCTTAAAAGCTATAGTTTCCTTGCTGCTGAGTTAAATGTACTATAAAATAGGTGGACTTGGTATTCTTCAAAACTTTGTTTTTGGTACATATAATTATAAAGAGAACATTATATCTTTGAAATAGAATTGCCTTATGTTTAAGATTAATGCAAACCTTTAAATGCATAGTGTTTATTTTTTTATATTAAAAAATGCTCTCTGGGTTTGCATACTCGATCTTAGCTGAAAGGCCAAGAAGTGATTGATTCTATAGGTATGTAAAACTATTCTCTGAAAATTCTCAAGGAAGGGACAGTTTTCCTTAGGTGAAGAGAAAGTAATGAGAAAGAAACTAAAATCTGTTAATGCCTTGTCCCTGCACAAAAATTTAGACTATCTGCCTTAAATTTTATGTTCTTTTTATGTTTACTTCCTACCTAGATTTGTTGTTTTCTTTTTTTTTTGCTTTTTTTTTTATTTCAGC